GTTACGCATGGTCAAGGAGCCTTTAACTAAACAAGTTATATATATTTCTTTTTTAAAAAAAAAAAAAAAATTTGTACCCTCTCAATACCCCCTCTTCCCTTGTAATTTAATGCACATATATCCATCTTATTTCATCTCTTTTCCCATCTAAGGCGAGGAAAATCGAAGCACTGTCCAAAGTTTTGAATAATTCTTTGGAAGTTTTTTGTATGATTAGAAGAGTTTTTAAAAAAAGCCGATCTAGGATAACTTTCTTCTACAAGAAGCAAAAATAAAAAGTAAAAGTCATGTCAAAAGGATTATAATTAAACACACTTCTTCCCACTATTTAGTTGCTAATGCTAGCAATTATAAAATGAAAAATTCCACGATTGTGATTGGGGGAAGTATACAAATTTCGTGTAAACCACAAATTTATTTAAAATTTTAATCGTACAAATCTTTTAATGTGTCTTATCTTTTTTATTGAAAGAGATGTTTCATGTGAGAAAAGATAAAATATCTTGTTCATAAAAAAATTGAATGATTGGATGACGCGCAATAGGCAGTAGTACTAAGCACTTTGAGCAAGCGCTACAACTTGCTCATATCACGACGTGACTTAAGGTAAAATTTTTGGATTGCTTGATATAGTTAAAAGAGTATAAAGAATTAATACATAGTCGAAGTCTCGATGATTCTAAATACGCGATCGACATTCAAACAATCACATACTACACCACTTCGTATGCATGTTGTTGTGCGGAGTCGAGGAGTCTTTAACCAAACAAGCTTTATATATTTCTTTTTTTTAATTTAAATTTGTACCCTCTCCATATAATTTCATCTCTTTTCCCATCTAATGCAAGGCAAGGAAAATAGAAGCAGCTTCAGAGCATTTTCCAAAGATGCTTCTTTTCTTAGCTTTTTCCCCAATTCAATCAAACACCTTTGGAACAAAGCTTAGGGCATCACAGAAAGTCATTCAAAGGGATTCCAAACTTGAATTCCTGAGCTTTACTTTAGGCTCATTTACATCTTCTTTATATAATTTATTAGCTGGTGTTTTCTTTTTCGAAGCACAATTGCGCCATTTGAATACAGGTCTTTAATTTTTTAAAGAGGGTTGAATATTATTGAATAATATTAAAAAAAGAAATTAAAATCGTTATTTATTATTATCGTCTGATCTTGCTACATAGCAAACACGCACTAAAGAACAAACACGGATAATTCAAATCTATCTTTAGGTCTATATTGTATAGCATATTTATAACTTCTTTTGAGATATCAATCGCTTAAAATTTGAAAAATCTATAATTCACATCGTATATATCCTTAAATTTGCGTTTTCGACCTAAAAATAAAACAAACAAAAAAAAATGTGTCTTTTTAATGGCACATATTACGACTCTGTTTAGCAAGGTTTTTGAAAAATCAGACGCTGTTTTTGAGATTAAGAAGTTGCTTTTGAATATATTTAAATAAGTTTATGAAAATGTTTTATCTGATTAGTAGAGTGGTTTTCTTAGAAAATTCAAAATAAAAAATCATATCTAACGAGCCCTCAATTTTATACTATGGGCGTGTTCGGTAGAGATTAAAATCGGATTAAAATTGAAAAAATAGTCGTTATTGTTAACTTTTATTAGACGAGTGAGACTCAATAACGACTATATTTTTAATTTTAATTCAATTTTGAGCTGTATCAAACAAGCTCTATATTATAACCTATTTGTATTACGAAATTCAGTGACTTGTGGCCTAGGCGGAGTAGAATTGAGAAAAGAGACTTGACTACTAGAGGATTGTACTATTCGATGACAGCACAAACATAACACAATCTTGCATATCTCCGATTGGGGACCAAGTTGCTCTTTACCAAAACATGTTTTTCTATTTAAGACAACAACCCGCGGAATAATTGACATTAAAATTTTGTTCATTATATTATAAAGTGTTACTTATCCAATACACGACGAAAAATGATATACTATTATCTATTAGATGACAATCCAGCAAAGAAAACAACCAACTTTTCTTGATTCAAAGCTTTTGGAAGTGGCTGATGGACTCATGTGATGACACCACAAGAGACATCCAATCCTGACCAGTTTTCACGACACACTGACTCAATGCAATCCACATCAATTGATGTAACTTAGCCCACGTTTGTCATCAATTTTTAAAAACTCAATTATTTGTCAAACTCATTTTCAGCTATATATTTTATGGGATTCATAATTTTTATGAAATTTTCAACTATATAATTCATTAACTTTTATCAAAATCTAATAAAAATCTGAGTTTTAACCAAACCAAACGGGGACTTAATCATCTAGAGGAGTCCAATCAAATCAAAATAAAACGACTACTAATAAGTAACGAGTAACGACTGAAACAATTACATGTAATGATGTTAAAGTGGATCGAGCGATCGATATCGGAGACACTGAATTGCCATGCACGTTCTTTTTGTACAAAAAAAACTTGCTCTAATCTAGATAAGCATGCTTAATTCAGTATGAGGTTAGCATATGAGGTAAGATTAGTATAGGGAAGATGAAAATGACCCTTCAAGAATTTCAGCCCTACACACCAACTGGACAGACCCAAGACACCTCAAAAGTTCTCCTCATAGTCTGCCTTTGGCCATGAGAGTTTTTAAAGCTTAGTGGAACTTCTTACTCAGAATACAAGAGCACACTTTCCCATGCATATATAAGGAGTCATGAATTTCTTTCTTTTTTGTGTCTTTGTTTTTTTCTGAAGGAAGTGGGGTGGGGTGGGGTGGGTGGGGTATCCATATATTTATCTTTACTTTCTTTGCAAGTGGAAGATAAAAAGCAAAGATTTCTTACCTCTACTTTTACTTTTTCAGCTCTCTCTTTAAGACTATTCCATCTTATAATAAAGCTCAAATCCACATTACATATATTGGAAGGGCAAAGAGGAATAAAGCAGAAAAAAAATAAAAAGTTTTCCTGCAGTTTGTTTCTTCCATGCAGTCAATACATACAACATAATTATTTATTGATCACACTTGAAAAATGCATTGTAATGATGTCTTAATAATCATAATCTTTTACCACTTTACATCCAACTTTGTGCTGCAGGCACATGTCTCCAACTGTGGGAATTGCAATTGGAACCAGAAAAAAATTGCCCAGAATACATATATTTAAACACAATCATGCAACAAAGTACAACATTTTTGAACTGCTAACTGCACGTGCCATGCAAAATGTACCAAGATCGAGGGTGACAGGATTTATTGTGAACTTCTACTTATGCAGAGGCTTGTTTCGGGTAGATTCCATTTCCACAAGAACCAGAACATAACCGAATCGAAAATCAATGGTTCATTGATAAAGGAATCGAGCCGAAATCATTTGGTTCCATTTGCAATAATGGAACCGGACTGGAACCATTTGGTACTGGTTTGGTTTGGTCCGATTCTAGCACCAAATTTTTGAAAAAGAAAAGAGTTAATTTCGGTAAAAAAAATTGAAAAATGATTACTCACTTAATCGGGTCATCAAGAATTTAAAAAAAAAAAAAAGGTTTGAAGTTCAAGAATTGAAAACATTTGATTCTAGGTTCCAAGAACCAAAACCAGTTGAGAACATACTCAGAAACGATTTGGTTGTTCTTGCCTACTCCTCATCAAGACCCAATTTTTAGAAAATGCAAAAGTATCCATTTCCCAGTCTTTTTCTTGAATTTATTAATAATGTGGTTACATATGAACTGCAAATAAAAAAGTATGCTGCACAAAGTTTTGTTCTTATCTATAGAATCAACAGTGACTATATAACTTTTAATTTTCGAAAGGGTTACCTCGAAACTACTGTCATGCAAAATTGGCAGAAAATTTTCATTGGCTGCAAACTGGTCCCCAACAATTTTGAAATAAGTACTACTTTGGTTTCTGGGAATTGCTGAAAACAGGAAAAAAGATAAGAAAACGCGTCTTACTCTTGGTTCGATGAGATGAACCCTTTCGGTCATTTCATATAACACCCGAAGATTCATTACAGTTAGAATCTTTGCGCGACGAAAGACTTATACAAAATTGTATCGAATAGTCATTATTGTCAATTATCTTTGGGTCAATGAGACCAGATATCTTTGTAAATAGTGGCATATATTGATTACTACCCACTTTGTCTCTTTAATTTACATAGCCATGGAAAATTCAGCATTCTTGATTGCTTAATGTGCAATTTCATCATCTCACACTAAAAGTAAAGGCCATTCTATGATTAAAGCTAAAGGGTATTTCTGTCATATGAATAAAAAGAGGACATGATCAACTTTACTTTTGTCCCCCTAATCTGAACTTCAAATTTCTGTTATCCAACGGCAGTTTTTCAATTAACTATAAACCTTCTTTATTCCCCCTTCTCTATTCATCTCTTTGCTTTGTTAATGTTTATGGGCTGGTCGAGAACATAATTTAAATAAATAAGTTGTCTCTTTTTATCAGTTTAAACTTTACGTGTGATACTATCACATACCGACAAGTTTGGCCCTGATGTTCTGCGCTTCGCGGCAGTCATCTCCTAATCCTTAGGCCAGCTACTTGAAACAACTAGCACAGAGGTACGTTTATGGGTAGGATGCTAGACAATATATATTTAGTACACTTTTTGATAATATAGACCACACGCTTAACTTTTGACGACCTTGTCGTGATGTATGATGAGAGGAGCACTCCCGGTGTAAGGTTTAAAACAAGATTTGCACCAATTTTGATTATCTTTAATGTGTTCTGGGCTGAAGCAAAAAGGGAAAGCAGAGGGAGAGAAAAGGAGGGATTATCTTCTTCCTTGAACTTGAAGACTCTTTAATCACAAGATGATTGATTCTTTAAACCAATACACAATTGAAGTTTCTCAGATTCCTTCAACTTTTCATCCCTTTTCTGGGAAATTCAAAATCATTCAGTCTCTTAAAATCCCTTGTTAGTTCTTTCACTCCTTCCAAACTCACTTTCCATGAAAAATTTCCAACAAAATATGGTGCCCTTCTTTGTTTTAATACTAACATTCTTCTCGCTTGTGGGTACATGTTTTCCTTCCTCCCTCATTTCTGATTTTCATGCTCTGATTTCACTCAAACAAGGGTTTGAATTCGAGTCTAATCCGGCCATAAGTTCTTGGAATTCTTCTAATCCAACCTCAATCTGTTCATGGGCTGGAATCAAATGCTTCCAAGGACGTGTAATCTCGCTTAATGTATCGAACTTGGCTCTTTATGGCTCAGTTTCGCCTGAAATTTCCAGGCTTGATAACCTGGTGGAGCTTTTCATTGATGGCAACAATTTCACTGGTGAAATCATTATTGAAAATATGGGAAATCTCCAATTTCTTAACATTTCGAACAACCAGTTTAGTGGAAATCTGAATTGGAATTACTCTAGCCTGGCCAATTTGGAGGTGTTTGATGCATATAACAACAACTTTTCTGCTTTGCTTCCTGTGGGAGTGCTGGATTTGAAGAATCTCAGGCACCTGGAATTGGGAGGAAATTACTTCTATGGAGAAATCCCGGGGAATTATGGTAATATGATTGGATTAGAATACTTGTCCCTGGCTGGAAATGATCTTCAGGGAAAAATTCCTCCAGAATTGGGCAATCTCACTAACTTGAGGGAGATTTACTTGGGCTATTACAATGTTTTTGAGGGTGGAATTCCAAGGGAATTTGGCATGCTGGTGAATCTTGTTCATATGGATCTTTCAAGTTGTGAATTGGATGGTTCAATCCCTCCTGAACTGGGGAATTTGAAGTCAGTGGACACAATTTTTCTGCATCTGAATAGACTATCAGGGATAATCCCCAAGGAATTAGGCAACTTAACAAGCCTGGTAAATCTTGATCTTTCTTTCAATGATCTCACTGGTGAAATCCCATATGAGATGATCAATCTCAAACAGCTCAGGCTTTTAAATCTGTTCTTGAACAGATTACATGGGCCGATACCAGATTTTGTTGCTGATTATCCTCAATTGGAAGTTCTTGGGCTCTGGATGAACAATTTTACAGGCACTATCCCGGCAAATCTTGGCTTAAATCAGAATCTGCAGGACTTGGATTTGTCTTCAAACAAGCTCACTGGTATCATTCCCAAAGGGGTTTGTGCCTCAAAACAGCTTAGAGTACTAATTCTGTATAAAAATTTTCTTTTTGGGTCAATACCAGAGGACTTGGGCACATGTTCAAGTCTTGTTAGGGTGAGGCTGGGGCAAAACTACTTGAATGGTAGCATCCCAAATGGGTTCATTTACTTGCCTGAGCTAAACTTTCTTGAATTGCAGAACAATATGTTGTCGGGGATCTTGTCTGAACGTGGTAATTCTTCGTCAAATCCAAGTAAATTAGGTCAAATGAATCTGTCCAACAATCAATTTTCGGGAATTTTGCCATTTTCTCTTTCAAATTTGTCTTCCCTCCAAATCCTTTTGCTTAGTGGAAACAATTTCTCTGGTCCAATCCCGCCTTCTATCGGTGAACTTCACCAAGTTCTAAAGCTTGATCTTAGTAGAAATTCTCTTGCTGGCAAAATCCCACCTGAAATTGGTAATTGCGTTCATCTGACTTATTTGGACTTGAGCCAGAACAGTCTATCCGGCTCAATTCCACCAGAAATATGCAATAATCGAATCCTGAATTACTTGAACCTATCGAGAAACCACTTGAATGATACCATTCCGAATTCAATAGGTTCGATAAAGAGTCTAACAACAGCTGATTTTTCGTTCAATGATCTCTCTGGTAAGCTACCTGAATCAGGCGAATTTTCAGTCTTCAATGCATCTTCCTTCGTGGGCAATCCTCGACTCTGTGGATCCTTATTGCACAATCCTTGCAATGTCACAGCACTGACTAGTACACCGGGAAAGTCCCGTGGTGCATTCAAGCTAATATTCGCCCTTGGTCTTCTAATGTGTTCTGTAGTCTTTACGGCTGCAGCTATAATCAAGGCTAAGTCATTCAAGAAAAATGCCTCTGAATCTTGGAAAATGACTGCATTCCAAAAGCTCGACTTCACAGTTTCCGACGTCCTGGAATGCTTAAAAGATGGCAATGTGATCGGTCGAGGTGGTGCTGGAATTGTCTTCCACGGCAAAATGCCTAATGGAGTCGAAGTCGCAGTCAAAAAACTCCTAGGATTTAACGGCATTAACAGCCATGATCATGGATTTCAAGCTGAAATTCGTACACTAGGAAACATTCGACACAGAAACATTGTAAGACTCCTCGCATTCTGTTCCAACAAGGACACAAACCTTCTTGTGTACGAATACATGAGAAATGGAAGTTTAGGAGAGGCATTACATGGGAAAAAAGGTGGATTCTTGAGCTGGAATATTAGGTACAAGATTGCATTGGATGCTGCAAAGGGATTGTGCTATTTACATCATGATTGCTCCCCATTGATCCTGCACAGAGATGTCAAATCCAATAATATTTTGTTGAATTCTAGTTTTGAAGCTCATGTTGCAGATTTTGGGCTGGCTAAGTTCTTGGTAGATGGGGGTGCCTCCCAGTGCATGTCAGCAATTGCAGGGTCTTATGGCTACATTGCACCAGGTATGTACATGGTACCTAAATTTATGTGTTACACAATATTGTTTTCTGCTATTCCATCATTCCTGTCTGCCTGTTGTTATTTCGTTTTGTTGATTTTGACAACAATTTTAACTGTCAACTAAGAAATCCATGGCCGTACCCTCGTTCATACTTCAGCACTGTTTGTTTCGAATTAAAATCAATTTTTAATCTATGTCAAAGTCAAACAATTAATATTAACCACATCTTTCATGAGTATCGCGGCTTTTCAACTACACATTTCAAAAATTTCTATCACAATTTACTAAAAATCTAATTTTATTCCCTACCAAATACCCACGAATTTCAAGCCTACCCTTAATTTATAAAAAAATAATTTAAACGAATAATATAATTTTTTAGCTAAATGGAGCAAAAACCAAACTGCTGCTATAGTGACAGGTCAAAATCACCCGTGATTTATGGTACAGAGAAAAACAAAAAAGCGCAATGTCTAGCATTTATAGAGAAGCGCACCGAATCAGTGGCGTTTAATTCTGCGCCAGAAAAGTTAAACGAGTCAAAGGCAGCAGTTGATAGCTAACATAACAGCGTCGACTGTCGTGAAAGCTAACAGACGTGCACATCATTTTACACGTGAAATTTTATTTTGTAACATATTTGATTTTTTTATTTTTTTTACTTAAATAAAGTTTTTGAATATGTTTACATATAAATATTCTTAAATAATTTTATTTTTTTTTGTAGAATATGCATACACGTTGAAAGTGGACGAAAAAAGTGATGTTTATAGCTTCGGAGTAGTCCTTTTGGAGCTTATAACTGGGCGACGTCCAGTGGGCGAATTTGGAGAAGGTGTGGATATCGTAAGGTGGATCAAACAAGCAACAGATTGTCGAAGAGAGCAAGTTACTGATATCATCGATCCAAGGTTAACCGCAGTGCCTCACGAAGAAGCCATGCATTTATTTTTCATTGCAATGCTTTGTATTCAAGAAAATAGTGTTGAAAGGCCAACAATGAGAGAGGTAGTTCAAATGCTCTCGGAATTCCCCCGTTCGCCAGAATTTCAATCCTCATCGTCCATCGCCTATCAGCAACCGAAGAAGAAAACCTAAGAAATTAAATGAGAAAATTTGACGTAAAAGTTCTCTCTTGGTTTGAACTAATTTTTCTTTAATATATATGTTCATCCAGTGATATTTTAACACGTGTGCAAGCTTCATTTTGTTGTAGAGTTTGGATTTTTTTCAGGAATATTATGAGATTTTGTGACCAAACAGAAGTTAGGGAAATATTTTGAATGTAGTTTTCCTGTCAAACCTTTTTTTTTTGCTCCTTTCGCTGTTAGTTTTCAAAATTTTGCACATTTGGTGCATCATTTTTTACAATCTAGAGTTTGATGCATGCAATACCCTAATTATATTTTAATCACAATTCACAATTTCTACTACCCAAGCCCAACAAGAGGAAGAGGGAGGGAGATCTATGAATTTAGGGTCCGTTTGGCAATATTTTTCGAAAAGTGAAAAGTTAACTCTAAGATTAAGAATCAACTTTTGTGTTTCGATAATTTTCTGAAAGTACTCGTAAACTAATCACCAACGATTGTCATTGTCTTCCGCTCCTTTTACAATATCGTCGATCGAGTTTCCAAGTTAGGGTTTAGCATTGTTCCTTTTTCTTGATTTCTTCACTTGACACATGTTGTAGCATAATCGACGAGTCGATATTCGATACAAGTCGAACATTGACATGTCATCTCAAGTAGCATGTCAACACAACTTAAGCTGCCATTAATTCGTGACACGTGATGCAAAAATTGTGATTGTAATGTATTTATAATATGATCGTGTGATGAATGTGATCGAATTAGGCGATAACAGGCCCCAGCCTAACTCCCCATAAAAAAAAGGTACATGTCCTAATTTTTTTCTCACATTTTTTTATCAACAACCATAAGCTCCTGCATTTGCAAAAAAAAAAAATAATAATAATAATATATACACACACACACACAAACAGGTAGAAATGAAAAGTAGCCGTTAGATCTGATGAGGGGTTTTGGTTTGCAGTATTCTGAGTACACGCGCCTCCCTACTATTAGATATTTTCATCATTTTGCATG